GCCGCTCGACTCCAAACGACACCGTTTTTTACCCACGGTATCGAATTAAATGCCGAGACTAATTAATGCGGCATTTAATTCGGGCCAAATTAATTTTAGGTGTCAACACCATAAAAGTAGAGAGGAGCCTTATTGAACATACATTTGGGCCATGCCCCGTTAAAAAATCCCACAAATTTAAAATTTAAAATTGCATTCCACTTAATAAAAATCAATAAAAAAAGCCAGTTTCACTCATTTGCCAACAGTCTCTTTAATCTTGACCAAGGTTGTCAACCAGCGGGTTGACCCGAACCCGGTCGAGTTAGTGGGTCAATGGTTAACGGGTCACCCGTTTTAGCTTGAAAATATGGAAAAAGTTATTATATTGTACTTATCCTGATAATTTATATTAAATCTCATCTAACATATGAGTAATAACATATAACATTACACCAAAGTAACATGTCGTACTTATTCTAACTTCTAATGAGTAAAACTCATTTCATAATTTTCGAAGCTAAATCATAAAATTAATTTAATCTAAAAATAATAACAAAAATTCTAATTTATCAAAATATTTCAAAGTACATCTATATAATAGGTGTGAACGCATGCATATACATATGTGAGACGCATGCTAGCCTTTGCCATAAACATATATAAGTTACTAAATTTTCAATTGACGGTAATATTTTAAATTATGAAATATCATTGCAAAATCATTGTGGTGTCTTAAACCTATGGCTGGTGTGGTTTATAATGGGGCATAATACATGAATTTGAATGTCTTTGTTGGATATATTTTATTCCAGACTCTAAAACAAGATATTAAATTGTCCAATGGAAGATAATAAGACTCAAGATAAGAGAATCAAATAAAGTTCGAGTGGTAAGTTAAATGAAGAGAATTTTGAATACAAGTCTATGCTTAACCTAAGAGTTGAGATTGCAATATTAGAGTTCACCACCATGAGGCGTATACACCTATATATTTAGGGATGGCAATGGATCGGGTTGGGTCGGGTTTTGCCAAACCCAAACCCAAATCCATGGGTTTATCTTTGAAAAAAATCCGGGGTAAAACTCACCGGGTTTGAAAAACTCAAACCCAACCCAACCCGTTGGGTATCCGCGGGTTCATGGGTACCCACGGGTTTTGTCGTAAAAAATTTACAATTACAAGTTCTTATCAAAATTAAAGTCAAATATCAATCTCTCAATACAAATTATCCATATATAAAACACCATTCTAGAAAATTCAAGCAAATCACAAATTAACTATACAAATTGTTCAACACCAATCTAGAAAACTCAAGAAAATTGAAGCAAATCACAAATTATCCATAAATAACATGTTTAATTGAAAGCTTCTTTCTTTCAATTAAGTTTCTTTAGTCTCCACTCCATAACATCAACTTCATTGTACACAATTAAAAAGAAAAAATTAGACATGTCTCCACAAAAATAAATAAGAATAGTTGTTTAGAATATTAAATATACCGAAAAAATTAATTATATGAGTGGGCGGGTACCCACGGGCCGGGTTTACCTAAACCCAAACCCAACCCAACCCGGTGAATAGTGAACGGGTTTAAACCCAAAACCGGCCCAAAACCCGTCAACACGGATTTTACCCGCGTTGACCGGGTTGGGTCGGATGGGTACCCGTGGGTTCGGGTTTTGTTGCCATCCCTATATATATTGACACTTACTTTCATGGTTGTCAAACAGTGATTCATTACTGAGAAAGAGAGGTGGAGAGGGATTGAGAGAAAGAAGGGAGAAACCTATTGACACTTACTTTCATGGTTGTCAAACAGTTATTCATTACTGAGAAATCGAGGTGGAGAGGGCTTGAGAGAAAGAAGGGAGAAAAATGGAGTGTAAGTAAATGATATAAGATAGATAATTTGACATCTTTGGGTAACTAAATTTATTGAGATGAATTAGTTCAAAACATGAAGAAGAGGAAAAGAGATATAGAGAGGGAGAGGAAGAGGAAGAGGAAGAGGAAAAATTGAGAGGTTGACAAGTGAGCAATAAATCTTCAATAAACTGGAGTATTTTAAACAATGATGCATTATTGTAAGAGTCGAGATTACAATATTAGAGTTCACCACCATGGGGCGCACATGTGCATATTGGTGCTTACTTTCATAATTTCATGGTTGTCAAACAATGATTCATGACTAAGAAAGAGAGGCGGAGAGGGCTTGAGAGAAAGAAGGGATAGGAATGAGGTGTTATTAAATGATATAAGATCGATAATGGAACATATCTAATAACTCAACTTATTGAAACTAATTTATTCTAGATATGGAGAAGAGGAAAAGAGATATAGAGAGGGAGGAAAGAACCGGGAGGACGACAAAGAGAGCAATGGAAAGAGGTCAGGTGGTTGTGAACGTTAGGGTGTAATTTTTTAACTTTATTATATGTTGAATGAGAACATGCAAAATTATGTTTAGAAATCTAAATTAAACTCCAAATTTTAAAATTTTAAATTCATATCTTACACATATATTTTTGAAATATGTCTAAAACTGATAAATAGGTTGGAAATTGATCCGACTATGGAACCTTAAAACCACTTACTTTATTAACTTAATAGTTTAAATTGGTTGACAACTTTGTTTATATCACACATATTAATACGGTAACAAAACTCATCCGGCCAACTGGCCGGGCAAAATGCTAGTCGATTTCTGTACGAGAAGATTTCACAGTTCAAGATCTAAGGAAAGAAAGACTAATCAATTTTTCTCACAGCCAAACAAATTTTGGCAGACAAAACCAATGGCTGGGAGAACTAGAAGCTAGTGCTCCAGACAAAACCTGAGCCTTTGATGTTATCTACTTTCTGTAAACACGTCATTTTATTGTTAAGATGAAAGAGCTTTTCTTGGGAATCAAATGCATTTTGGAAGAGAAATGAGCAACACCACCTAGTTTATCTTTTTCACAACTCTTGATCAATTAGTTCAAAGAAATCGGATAGATTTTTATTTCTCACACACTCTTGAAAATTATTGTTTTAGAGAAGGCGTTCCAATGGCAAGAAAAGAGAAAAGGAAGTAAGAGATAAGGGAGAAGATTATTTTGTGTGTGGGTGTATTTATATGGCATATGTTTGCCTCGTTAAACAACTGTCGTTGCTATTATTATGTACCGGTTTGTTACGCTTAACACTATTTTTTTTATAATGGTGATTAAACATATTTTTTGTGATTAGATACTATTTATAGTAAGTTTCTCGCAAATTAGTAAGAGTATTAATTTAGACTTCTCACTTTGTCTTCTGTGGATTCGTGTAGAATTTTTATCAAATTTTTGCGTTACTCCATCAAAGCCTTCTTTACCGATAGACCTTCTGTTTGAATCTCGATGACCCCCATATGTTTCTATTAAGCACATGGTGCTCGGACCTGTGTCTGTGTCGTTTGCATCTTGAATTTTAAAAATGAAGGTTTTGGTATAACTTTGATTTTAAAAAACCATGGATATATGAGAGTTTTGGGTTAATTATGGATTTGATAAACACCATTGTTTGTTTGATGGATTTCATGATTGATTTTGTTGATTAAATTTGTATGTATGAAGTGTAATTTACCTTTATTGCCCTCAATGATATAAGAAGAGAAAGAGAATATGATGGGCAGGTTGGTAAAAAATTATGTACTTCAAAGTCCATAATCAATTTCCCCCTTAAATCTCAGAAATTTCAGTTAAGAAAAAAATCTTCCAAAAGATAATATTGATTTAGGATTTTACATTGAAATGGAAAATATGTCAAATATAATGTCATCTCCTAAAATAAATCAAAATTCAACATAATAGGACAAAGAGAAGTCTTGTTATATGTGGAGTGATTGTGACTTTTTTCCGACAACTAATATCAATATTCTTATTCAGAGGTCTATGATTGAATTTATGTTTAGTCGTTATCACAGAACATATATTTTCCAAATGCATGATCAACTCAGAGATATGGGTAGGGAAATTGTACGCCGAGAAAATATAACACACCCATGGGAGAGAAGTAGGATATGGTCGGAGGAGAAAGCTCTGGACATGTTACTTAACAAAAAGGTAATTTCCCCACATCTCACTTGAGTTTGTTCAGTTTTTTCCTAGTATAAGTATCTGATTGCCACAACCATTGCTGAACTTTGATACTCTTTTATATAGAAGCTATAATACTCAATCACTTAGCCAAATCACTAGCTTAAGCCATTCGGATTATCCTTTCTGTAGAATCTTATTTCAAGGTAGCAAAATTGGAGATATCAATTTGTCATTGATCTAGCGATATTAGCGAAATTTGCCACTGACCAATTTGAATTCATGAATTCTCCGCCTGTCCAACTAGAATAGTCAGACTGGGAATTTAGACTCATGAATTTATTTATTTGCTTTATTGTTTTCAACTTTATGCTTTCGCAGTTGAAAGGAAATGAAACAAATTAGTATGTTAGAACATTTTAAATCCTAAACTGAAATGTCAGCAGAATAGATGTTATAACATGATATGAGAATTATAATTTCTTGGTTTCTTGACTGAAATCTTTGTAGCTGAACCCCTATGGCAAAGATTTTTGGTTTCTTGCTTCCCTTTTGGTTATTGGACAACGGTTTATTTCTCTTTTTGTGTGTCTGCAGGGAACCAAACAAGTCCAAGGGTTTGGAGCAGAGTCATTCTGGAAGCTTGAAAAAGAATGCTTTGTGAATTTATCAGAGTTGAGATACTTGGACCTGGCAGCTCGTATGTTCATTGGCGACTTGAGCAATTGTCTTCCCAAATTAAGTTGGCTTCGATTGAGGACTGGACTTGGTGACCGTGTGCCAGAGTTTTGTATGGAAAATTTGGTGTTTCTCGAACTCTTAAGACAAGTGAAAGATGATTGGGGAGGTTTGAGGCATATCAAGGTATGGACTACTACTTGATAACATAACATGAATTATGCTTGTTGAGGCTCTTGCTTAATGAGACAATCTGACTGTCTTTGTTAAATCTGCTCATGAAGATGGCGAGCAAGCTCAAAGTCTTGAAACTTTTAGGTGACCCCATGATCAAAAGTCCAGACTTGCCACGTTCTGGGAGTTTAGAGATATTGCATCTGCAGAGTTTCATCCTCCATTGGTCATCTGGAATTGCGAAGTTGTTCAACCTAAAGGTGTTGCATCTGCAGTTTTGCGAGGTAAGAGATATATGGGGTGGAACCATTGGGATGTTGCTAGGGCTTCGGGAGCTCACTATCTTCGATCCAAAGAATGAGATGAATCTGAGAGAAGCATTTGCTGGTATTGGGGAATTGCAGTTTCTTGAAATCTTGAGACTAGACGTAACAGATGATTTTCTACGGAGACCACTTGACGAGAGATTGTTGTTGGGGGTTAAGCTCCACACAACGTTGAAGGTGCTACAAACTTCATCTCCAGTTGCTAACCTACCAGAGCTGCTTGGCTTTGGAACTCTTGTATCTTATAACAAGTTAGAAACTTTGATCATAAGTGAGTGCTTTCTTCTCACGTCACTACCATTTCACGACCTTGATGATGACTGTCGATTAGGATTGGTGGTACTCAACTCTCTGAGATATCTCCACATCTTCGGAAATACTCTGCTGCTGCAGGTTCTCTGCCGGAAGCTTCAGCTGTTAATGTTCCCATGTCTCACAAACTTGTATCTCAGGGGAATGGATAATGCAGACACGGAATTAAGGCTGGACGGGCTTGAGTCTATGGAAGAGTTGGTTCAACTGCATTTGTCTTCCTTGCCCTCAATAAGGAGACTACCTTCCCTGTCAAGGCTGGGAAAGTTGAAGGGGTTAACTGTTAGTTCTGTTCCTAATCTGCGGGAGATCGAGGGCCTTGCTGGTTTGAAGTCCTTGGAAGTCCTAGATCTGAGTCACTGCACATCTTTGGAAAGTTTGCCTGTGGACCAATTATCTGGTTTGTGGCGATTGAGATCAAAGGATATCAGTGATTGCAAAAACTTGATTGGTTGGTCTGGTCTAAGAGAACTGGCGCCAAAAGTACACATACGGAGGTGAAATTGTGTAATCAAATTCAGAACTTTCTCAAAATAAAATTCTGCTTAATCTTTTTAACTTCTTCCTTCTTCTTCGTCAAAAAACTTCTTCCTTCTTCTTGTTTCTTTCTCAAGTATAGAACTTATAATCGGAGGAATCAGTGATAATGTTACGAAATCCACCAATTGTAGATGCCAGCATAACAAACACTCCAATCACGATCGAAACCTGCATTAAAGTTCCCGAAATCAATTCACAATAACATATCAACTAGACATTCATTTTTGGTGGTGTTTTTTTTCTTACCCAATTGACAAACCACTTGGGGCTGAACCTTTTAGGCTTCTTGAGGATCAACCACATTATGCTTGGGAGCTGCAAAATATTAAACTCCAAATTGAAAAAATGGATGTAATTATATGTGATGAATATGTCAAATGGTTAGACTGTTTCAGAAAATTGGAAAATTTTTTAAGGCTTACGAAGAATGAAGTTGGAGCAAAACCAAATCCACCGAAGAAGCCAAGCAGGTCGCCGAAGAACGGGAACGTGACTCCAACAAACAGTGTAAACGCTGTCCATGCATCAAATAATTAATTCATGATAATTACAGTCCATTTAATTTGTACTATATATTGGACCATTACTGACCAACATATGCAGATCGGACTACAAGTCTAAGAGGCAACCCCTGAGAGAAGTTCCATTTCTTCACCATCATCCTCTCCAGCATATCGAAAACTGGCATAGCATATACCTACAACAAAGATGTTACGCTATTATTAGAAGTAGATGGCTGTAGAGACAGGATAGTGTTCGTTATTCAAAAATACATTTTTGTTCACTAGATTAACAGAACTCGTACCTGATAGCTGCCAATGACATTAACGACAACCATAAGGTTGGCAGAGGCAATGAGCCAAGCAGGCCTCTGGAGGTCGAGCAGGACATTGTCCTGCACAGCCTGCCCGAAGGCCCAGTAGCCCATCATCGCCACGGGGAAGTAGCAGAGGGCCTTCACGAAATAGGCCACCATCACGCCCTTCCACATGGGCACGGTGGAAGGCCTTTCTGGTGTCGAAGGGATGGTGGCCTGGATCTCCAACAAAACCGCATGGCCCGCGAATGCGAACGAGCTCTGGCCCAGAGCGTTGAACACTCTGAACATCGAGCCCGCTGGGCTGCTCTGCTTGTAGCCGTACGTCACGTCCGCTGCCCTCCCGTGGCTCAGGCACCCCACCCACGCTATGGTTGAGTAGCTGCGCATTGATAAGGATATATGATTAATTCTTTAATTATTGTAATCTGTTTGGTTAGTTCCTAAGGTTTAGCTCCACTACTCCTATTTCTCTGCTACGTGTTGCTTGGCTCACGTTTATTCTGTTGTAACTTTGGGTATTAAACCCACAATTTGATTCAATGCAAAACACATCATTGAGCATTTACATGGTATCAGAGCTGCGCTCCGATCTCCTTAACCCTACAACCTCCTCCTAAAAATCGTCTTTCTTCTTCCTTTTCTTCCTTCTTCCCTGCCGATCACCATGACTCAAAACTCCGGTGAATCTGTTATCAATCTTGATAATCCCAACACAATTATCACTCTCAATCCCGCCGCTCAGCTGCCCAACAAACTCAATGGCGAGAATTTTCCCACCTGGCGTGCCCAGCTCGTCACTCTTCTCAGGGGCCTGGACCTTCTCAAATTTCTTGACGGCTCCCATCCTCCGCCGGCCTCCGATGCTCCAGCCGCTGATCGCACTCACTGGTTTCGTCAGGACCAGCTCCTTCTTCACTCTATCCTGGCGTCTGTTACTCCCGGCGTTGCGCCTTATGTTACTGCTGCTGAATCCTCTCGCGCAGCCTGGCTGATTTTAGAACGGATGTTTGCTAGTCAGTCCCGCCAACGGGTTATGAATCTTAAGGAAAAGCTTGCCCGTGAAACTCAGGGCTCCCGTCCCGTTGCTATTTATCTCCAGGCCATGCGTTCAACCGCGGCTGAATTGGCTCTCGTTCAAGCCCCGGTATCGGCTGAAGACCTCATCCTCCATGTTCTGCGCGGTCTCCGTGAGGAATATGGACCTCTCTCTGCTGCTATTCGTGCCCGAGATACGCCCATTGCTCTCGAGGATTTGCACGATCGCTTGGTCGACTTCGAGGCTGACCTTGCGTCCCATCGACACTCTTCCATGATAGCTCCCACGACCGCCTTCACTTCTTCTCGTGGTCGCTCTTCCCCGCAGGCGCGCGGTCGCGCCAGTCCGCGGCGCTCTCAACAGGCCCATGCCTATTATGATTCACCTCCACGTGGTGCCTCTCACTATCGTGGCTCCTCCAGCCCTCCGGTGCCCTCCTCTGCGCCGTCGCTTCTCGGCCGGCCACAATTGCTGTGCCAATTTTGTGATAAAGTAGGCCACTCGGCCAAGGATTGTTTCAAAATTAGAGGCCGCCCCTCTGTCCATCACACCACCACTACTGGCGCTTCTTCCTCAGGCTGGCTTCTTGATTCCGCGGCTACAAATCATGTTACCCCGGATCTTGGCGCTCTTTCTCTCTACACAGACTACAACGGTCCCGATGAGGTCCTCGTAGGTGATGGGACAGGTCTGAAAGTCACTCATGTTGGCTGTTCTTCTCTCTCTACTCCTTCCTCCCGTTTACAGCTTCATGATGTTCTTTGTGTTCCGGCCATTAAACGTCGGCTGCTCTCTGTTGCCCAGTTATGTAAAACTAACCCGGTTTCGGTGGAATTTTTCTCTGATTGCTTTGTTGTGAAGGATCTAGCCACGGGGGCGCCTCTTCTTCGCGGCCAGAATAGGGACGACGTGTATGAGCTGCCAGTGGATTCCTCACCCGTTTGCCTTGCCCTGTCCACCATCAAGACTTCTGCCTCCACCTGGCATCATCGCCTTGGTCACCCAAATTCCAAGTTACTGTCACGTTTGCTTCGCACTCAATCTCTTCCTACCTCTCGCATTAGTCCATCTCTTTCGTGTGAGTCCTGTTCACTGCATAAGAGTCATAAATTACCTTTTGATGTTTCCAGTTTGACTAGTGCCCGTCCATTTGATTTGCTGTTCATGGATGTTTGGGGTCCCTCCCCTGTTCTTTCTGATGATTCTTTCCAATATTACCTCGTCATTGTCGATCACTTTACCCGTTACACGTGGTTGTATCCATTATGCCGCAAGTCTGATGTGTATCATGTTTTTACGACCTACACCACTATGATCACAAATTATTTCCAAACATCTATTCGTCGTGTCTTTAGCGATGGTGGCGGCGAATTCCAAAAGCTCTGCGCCTTCTTTCAACAACATGGCATTACCCATCTGTTAACTCCTCCACACACCCCCCAACACAACGGTCTCGCCGAACGTAAACATCGTCATGTGGTCGAGACTGGTCTCTCCCTCCTTCATACCGCCCGTCTACCTCTCTCTTTTTGGCCCCATGCCTTTCAAACCGCTACTTACCTCATCAATCGCCTACCCTCTTCTTCCCTTCGTGGCGCCACCCCATATTTCTCTCTCTTCAACGAGTCGCCCAACTATCTCAAACTTCGATCGTTTGGTTGCCTTTGCTACCCCTGGCTTCGTCCATACTCACCTCACAAGCTCGCTCCTCGCTCCCGCTCCTGCATCTTTCTTGGTTATTCTCTCACTCAATCTGCTTATAAGTGTTATGATCCCTCCACCAAACGCGTTTACGCTTCCCGCCATGTTCAGTTCGTTGAAACAACTTTCCCTGGTCTTCCCTTGCCTGATGCTCCCTCTGTCTCCTCGTCGGATTGGGTTACTTTAGCTACTCCCCCCATTACCCAGTACAGCCTTCCCCAATCGCCAGCTTCACTTCCCAATTCTTCTCCGCCCTTGTCCACTGATGGCTCTCCTCGTCTTCCCTCGGCCGCCGCTCCTCCTCACTCTCCCGTGGCTTCGTCCTCACATCAGGCCATTCCACCGCCGGCCCCAATGAAGGTAATTCCCTCCCGGTCTCATCCCATGGCCACTCGCAGCCAGCGCGGCATATTTAAGCCGAAGAAACTCTTCACGGCACAGGTATCGTATGTTGATATTGAGCCCTCTTCTGTTAAAAGAGCTCTATCTGATCCTCGCTGGGCTGCTGCTATGCTTGATGAGTTTCATGCTCTCCTTCGCAATAATTCGTGGACATTGGTCCCGCGGCCTGTTGATCATAATATTGTGGGCTGTCGATGGGTTTTTCGCATCAAACGGAATCCCGATGGTTCCGTCGATCGCTTTAAGGCCCGGCTTGTGGCCAAGGGCTTCACGCAGCGCCCTGGCCTTGATTATCATGAGACATATAGTCCGGTGTTGAAACCGGTCACCATCCGCCTGGTTTTCTCTATTGCCTTGACTCACCGTTGGCCTATCTTTCAATTTGACGTAAATAATGCGTTTCTTCAGGGATCTTTACAGGAAACTATCTATATGACTCAGCCCCCCGGTTTCCGCGATCCTGCTCGGCCTGATCATGTCTGCCGTCTCTCTCGGCCCATCTATGGCCTCCGGCAGGCTCCTCGGTCCTGGTATATGGAGCTGTGCTCCTTTCTCCATCACGAAGGCTTCACCAAGACGACCTCCGATGCCTCCTTGTTCGTTTATTGTCATGGTGACTCCCTTCTCTATTTCCTCGTATATGTTGATGACCTTCTCCTCACGGGGAACGACGAGGCTCTTCTTTCCCAGTTCCAGGATCGCCTCTCCGCCAGATTCTCTCTCAAACGTCTTGGGCAGGTTAATTATTTCCTGGGGATTCAGGTTCTCTCCACTTCCACGGGTATCCAGCTCTCACAGCACAAGTTTATCATTGATCTTCTCGACCGGTTCGGCATGGCTGATTCCCAGCCCGCACCGACGCCTCTCAGCTCCACTGCCGCCCTTACTCTCCACGATGGTTCACCACCGGCTGATCCCACTATGTTCCGGCAGGCCCTTGGTTCTCTTCAATATCTCCTGTGCACTCGCCCCGATATTGCCTACGCCGTCAACAAGCTTTCTCAGTTCATGCACGCTCCTACTCAGCTCCATTGGCAGTCTGTGAAGCGTCTGTTTCGTTCTCTTAAGGGCACTGCCTCCTATGGTCTTCGGCTTACTCCTACTACGAGTTCATCCCTAGTTGCCTTTGCTGATTCGGATTGGGCGGGTGATCCGGACGATCGCACCTCCACTATGGGCTATCTTCTCTATTATGGTGGTAATCTCGTTTCCTGGAAGTCCAAAAAGCAACGGTCTGTTGCTCGTTCGAGTACCGAAGCTGAGTATCGTGCTATTGCCCATGCCACAGCCGAACTTCTATGGGTTCAAAATCTGTTGAAAGAGCTTCACCAGCCATCCTCGCAACCCCCGACTCTCTACAGTGATAATCTTGGTGCTGTTAACTTCTCGGCCAATCCGGTTTTCCACTCCCGAATGAAGCATTTGGCACTTGATTTTCACTTTGTTCGTGAGCTTGTACAAGCTGCCGCTTTACATGTTCGTCATATTCCAACGGCTCATCAGCTTGCTGACGCTTTAACCAAGCCGCTGCCCATTGCTCGTTCTCATCTTCTTCGGTCCAAGATCGGAGTCGTTCCCGGCTCCGTCTTGCGGGGGCGTGATAAGGATATATGATTAATTCTTTAATTATTGTAATCTGTTTGGTTAGTTCCTAAGGTTTAGCTCCACTACTCCTATTTCTCTGCTACGTGTTGCTTGGCTCACGTTTATTCTGTTGTAACTTTGGGTATTAAACCCACAATTTGATTCAATGCAAAACACATCATTGAGCATTTACACGCATCATATCAATGTAATCAAAAGCGCATTTCTACTAATAAAAGCTGTAAGTCTACACAGAAGTGTTTTGATGACGTAAAAGCGTAAAACCCACAGTCTCGGACTAGTATATATATATATGAAGAGACAATGAAAAACATACGAGATGGACATAACTGCAGCGGCCAGAGAGACACCAGCAACAGAGTTGAAGTTCGGCAGCTGAGCCAGGAAGAAGTGAATCCCTCCAAACATGACCATCCAGTAGGACAGCTTGATTGGTTTGCAACTGGTGCAAGCAATCTCCATGAACTTCTTCAGACACTTGCCACCGGTCACCATGTACACGATGTCGCAACCAACCTGAACAATCAGCTGCTGAGGCAGGACAATCCATGGCCCCAGCTTCTCGCCAAAGGCATGCCTGCCGAGGTCTATGTACCGATCGAATCGAGTCCCCGGGATGCATTCGTGGAGCTGGATCATCTGCCACATTGTGTTCAACGTCAGGCACCATGATGCCACTAGCACCATCGTCCCTGGTCCCCTGCCTCACATCAATTGGTCATTAGTACTCTGTTACTAATGTTCGACACTAAAAAGTGATATGTAGTGTAGCGTACCAGCCCAAGTAAGCCATGGCGGAAGGGAGGCTGAGAACTCCAGCACCAATAATGGCGGTGATAACATGGAAGGTTGAGTACCACCATTTGGCTCGCCGGCCGCTGGGATCCCCTCCTCCTCCGCCGCCCTCTTTCCTTTTCTCCGGCTGATTCTCCTGCTGCTGTTAATAGTGTTGTGTTAGAGAGCTATAATCAATCGCTTCAGGGTAATTGAAGAGACTACAAAGATAAATGTCAATTGACTAGCTATATGAAGCTGGTAATTGGAGTAACTTAGAGGGAGGAGAATCTGAAGAGACCATGTTTGTAGGTTGATGAGAGCAGCAGGGGAGTAGCCAGAGGTAGCCCTTTCTAGCTAGCTCTCTCTGTGCCCCTTGGGAGTTTTAGGAGTGAGTAGGTAGTTGAGTGATCACTTTCACAACACAAACTCTTGTGTTTATAATGTGGAGTGGAGTGGAGAGCTAGGGAGGGAAAGGTAATTAAGAAAATAATGCTATCTTTACCTATTTCATTTACTTTTTTCTCAAACGGATTCCTATGGGTAATCGCAAGAATGACCTTATGTCGTTGGGTTATATCATCTGATTGTGAGACTCAGTATCCAACAATTTTCCTTTAAAAAAACGAAACAGCATCTCGTGGCAAACCAAGAAATTCGAGTGAGGAGGAGCTGAATAGAATTATTGTAATTGGGAGAGGAAGGCTAAAGCTTTACCGACTATTCTAGTTGCTAAATTTGTGCAAATTTTGCATGTAATTTTATCTATATTTCAAAATAAATGGGGTCTACCGCTCCTGCAAGTTTCAACCTCGCTTAACCACTGCGGACATCTTTACACCAACCCACTTAAATACTATGGTCGAATTAATTTTCATTTGGTTGGACAATGATGCTAATTTCTGGAAGTTTTACACTTTTACTATATCTAGACAAGTTTCCATTGGAGAGTTGAGTGAGTGGGGTGGTGTGTAACTATTAGAAGTGGGAGGAGGGGGACACCTTGTAAGTGAAACTGTGGAAGTGATCTTAACTATTTACTTGAGCAACCTCAATGTGGTCGAGAAACAAAGGAGATTGAAATGGGGATGGGTTCAAGACTCTTGAAATGATGGAAAACAAAGAAACAGCATAAGATAAACAAAAAAAAATGGGCCAATCTCTAAAACCAAACCTAGCACAAAAATGGTACGAAGTTGTTTCTCTTCTAGTTATTTTACTTGCAATCTAATAGGAGAAACATTCGAAAGTACTCATCAAAGAATATGTTCGAAAGTGATGGGTAAAGGTGAAGAGTCATTTCACAAATTGGAATGTGTATAGCTAATCACCATATTGAGATCGTGACAACTACTACACATATACGTTTAACTCTTGTGGTGGTAATTTAGAGATTCGTTTTCTTCGGCCGACAAACCAACATAGAGCATGTTCACTATGAAATCAACTATGTGGTGGATTAATTATATTAGGAATTTTCTAATCGTGGTGTGGAGCCCTGTTACATACTGATTGTGCTTTGATCAATTTGTGGTGTAAACTACAAATATCAAATCAGTTTAAGACTCGTTTGCTTGTTGAATTTGAAAATGAGAGTTTTGAGTTTTAAAACACTTTGAATTTATGATAGATTTGTTGCATTATGGATTTAAAAATGATAAATAAGTCAATAAAAAGCAAGACACTTTTAAACATTTTATTTTCTAAAAAATGTCAGGAGGAGAGTAAAATAAAGTAAACGTTAGTACTTGTTTAGTTAGTTGGTTAAGGTGAATTGTTGTTAAGGTGAGTTGTTTGAATAAGGGACTATATACTCAAAGTTTGTGCATAACAATCTCTCTAGTGAGAAATTGTACTAAATTCTCTCATTGATCAAGAAAAACTGGATAGGATGTAATAAATTTTAAGTTTTTGGAGCTTTCAAATCTCTCACTACAACAAACTTCTTATATAGATAGGATTCTTATAAATCTCTTACTATCTCTCTATTTAACAACCCATATTCTAAAATCATTCGTACACAAATTATTTTTCGAGATCATTTGTACTTAGAATCCCAATTGTTTTAACTTTAACATTCTCGCGTTCCAATCATATACTTGGTAATTTGAATAAAAAATCAAACTAATTATTATTTATTTTTGGTTCACTGCACAACGAGTGAACTAGTTAGGGTCGTGCGGGTTATTTCGGACGATTGAATGAATTCTTTGTTAATATTTTTAATGACGCATTATGTTAACTGGACAGAAGTCACGGATTTTTTAACGGGAATAGATAGATTAACCTTTTTGTTATGTACCCAAATTTGTTTCACCAAAACGTGCTAAATTGAAATTTTGAGATGGTTTTGTACAAACTGAATAGTTATGGTACCATTTATAATAATTAACCCTACAAAGATAATGGGTAAACCCGAATAAAGTAGGTTTAGACAAGTTATCATAGTGATTAGACCTTCGTTTCCTGCTGATGCAATATTCTTCTTCAGGCAAGTAATCACTGTTCATATTTATGGCAAAGGTAATTCTTAAAGCCGCCACACAATCCAAAAGCACCCGTTGCGAAAGTGACTCACTTAAATTCCCCAACATCAAGATAAATAAGCCAAATGATAAGAGAATCAGGATGGTGCCACTTTTCGAATCATAGTGACCACCAGGAGTGCAATTTGCATTCTGGGAGATTAACCAGTAGCTGGCAAGCTTAATTACTACTATATGTTCCTTCCACAAACTCCTTAGGGCAGATTTTTCATTTCAAGAAAGATCAGGAGCATGTCATATAACATGTTTGCTCACTACATCCTCGCAAGCATAATTAGATGAAATCCAGACTCATTAAATGAAACCTGGTTTATGATGCCATTACCTAAACTAACTCATGAAGCCAGTTCCAGGGATGTTGGGGGGGCCTTGAGAAGTCAATTGCGCTTGAGAGACTAACTGGGACCTTCCACCTGGACCTTGACCATAGCCTTGACCCATACCACTCCCAACCATCTGTTGCTGTTGCTGTTGCTGCTGCTGCTGCTGTTGATGCTGCTGCAATTGCGAAAGCTGTTGTTGTTGGTGCTGCTGCTGTTGCTGCTGCTGTTGTTGTTGCTGCATTTGCTGCTGCTGTTGCATTTGCGGGATCTGCTGCTGCTGATCTTGTCGGAGCTGGGAGAGCTGCTGCTGCTGGTGTTGTTGGAGCTGAGCCAGCTGCTGCTGCTGCTGCTGGGGTTGCAGCTGGGAGAGCTGCTGCTGTTGATGTTGAAGCTGTTGAAGCTGATGTTGTTGTTGCATCTGCTGCTGTTGTTGTAGCTGTACATGTTGTTGCTGTGATTGCATTTGCTGCTGCTGTGGGTGCTGTTGCTGTTGTTGCGGCTGATTCGGTATCTGGGGTTTAAACACAACCATGTCCTGGTTGCAAAATATATTCATATTTGTGAGAGTTGGAAAAAATGAAATGCTCAAATGTAATTCAGAATGAACAGCTGCGACAAGTGCTATAAAGGACACTAAAAGTCTAAAGTGCAAAATGCATCAGAAATTACGGTACCAGATGAATGGAAGATATTCTTACCCCAGGAAAAAGCATCCCAATCAAGCGGCAGGCTTTATCAGAGACAGAGAGTAACAGTGTCTGAGATGGCAATTGTATAACTGCACACTGGAAGGAATATGGCAGAAAGGCAAAACCAGCAACGTAAGATAGGTAGTCCATAGATTAAGATTCAGATTAGCATCCATACAGGAAAACCTGACCAAATCTAGAACAGACTCAGCAGAACTCGAAAATTTCTGATTGCAGAGAAGACTGATGGTTAATTTAAACCCCCACCAAATGGATGAGTGATTGATCCAACAGGTGTTATCCTAACATATCTGCTACTCTTAATTAGTTCAATAAGATGTATTGAAATTGTCCATTGATTGACTGTTCAGACCCACATTGAAGTTTTAGCTACTCACAAGTCACAACAGTTCCAGGCACACACCAGCTAAGCCAATATTATCTTATGGATAACATACAAAATAGCAACTCACAAGCTTCTTCTCTTGCAGTTGTCCGAGAAATCCATGCTGATTCATTGCCCGAAAAACTAGAAAATCAGCCTTCCCAACGTATTGTCTGGAAGTAACCACCATTGGTATGATTAGAAACATAGATATATACTTGTTTACCCAGGAGGAAGAAACAGAAGGGCCAGTTAAATATGTAAGACAGAAGCAGAAATGAGCATTAGTTTGAAAAGGGATGTACTTGTTATTCATATGGTCCTGAGATATCAGCCGAACAATTTGCATTGTTGATGGCCAGTTTGCTGCAAGCCTGAAAATTGGGAACAAAAGAGAATCAACAACTTCCGTTCTCCCTCTTTCATGTTGATATATGCTACAAAGAACCTATGGAACTTGATTTGGTATCTGACAATCAGAAAGAATATGATTCCATGATAAATAATATCGGAGTAGATATGTCAATTCAAACTTTACCCTACAAATTCCCAGTATGGATCCTCAACCGCACTGTTTTCTAAAGGGGTGACAATGAGGAAAGAGCTCCAAGGCATCAGCTTAAGCACATAATTTCGAAGTCAAAAAATATTGACTACAGTCATGTCATGTAGAGCTGCTAAAATATCCGACTGTGGCATTCAAATGACACATTAGGCTTGAGGATGGCAGGAATGCTCGCCCAATCAAGGTTACCTGGCAGAAACCTACTATCAAGTCCCTCAATTAAAGACATGTTACATATCGATGTTTCCGTTGACATCAGACTCAAAAAATGAATAACTATCAGGATGGGGTTTTTTTTTTTTTGTAGAAATATGGAAGGAAGTTTCTGAACTTACGTCTCAGGAGACGAAGAACTCCTATAGCCCTGCAGCAGGCCAAAAAGCACATTACAAAATGTTAAAATGGCAGCTTACTCGTAAAAGGAACTAAACTAGAAGAAACATAAGTTTGTGAAAATGTTAAAAAATACCTCCAATTTCGTGATGAAGACAGGCTGCCCCTGCCGCTGCCCAGATAGACTCCCCTGTACAGCATTGACAAGGATTCAGCATTTTGTGCATAGATAATATGCACACCAAAGGCAAACTGCTAGTCAGATGTCCAGGAATTTTCATAAGTCGCAACAACTTGTTGAAGGAAACCAAGTAGTCGGCTGGCAAAAAATATATGACTAAGTACAATTATGTACTCTTAACAGAGCCAGACAAAAACAAGACTAATCAGTTGCAGCGTCAACCTGGTTGATCAAGTTTCTAGTCTTACTCGGGTTCCCTGTTAATTTCATCAAACAAAAAACATAGTTGGCAAGCACACATTATAATGGCAGTGATTTTCTTGACTGACAAGAGACTGATCAAACGTATAGACATCTAGCTTAGGACCATCCAGGGGACATATTAGACCTTTCTTTCCTCATAAAATTTGTAGCAGATAGAAGACAGAACCAATTCTAC